AAAATCTTTTAAATAACTTCTATATAACTTTTTAAAAATAACTTCTATATCACTCAGAAAAGATTTTTATAATCTTCGTATCGCTCTTAAAGATTTTTATAATCTTCGTATCGCTCTTAAAGTTTGGGGATTAAAGAGCTTGGAGATTTGCGCCCTGACATAATATCATCAATAAACTATCTAAACGGCTTAGTATAAAAATGATCAAAAGACGATCAAAATTTGATAAATATCAATATGGGAGTTATTTATAGGAAATGTCTTTTAAATTCTAATTTCGGAGCCGAATGTCTCAGGAGAAGTACGTTGTAGGAAGAAATAAGAATATTCATAGAATTATTTTCATCTAATCTATATACTTCCCTAAGAGATTGCTTTCTTTCGCTAAAACATCTTGTGTATGCATTTCCAATCATACACACATATCTGTCATATCATTTTTTTTATTCAATAATCCGTTTAGCTTTTACACAATCAAAGAAAATCAATGCGACAGTCGACGTGTTAACACAATCTACGAGTGAAACTATAAGATCACTGTGTTTCATTAAGCTAGTGTAAAGTATAATTAATTGTTTTCAGGAAATTGCCTGCACGACCAAGAAGGCAACTATTGAGGCGATGAGAAAGATATCTCAAATTATATTTATTTATTATATCTCTTCGACAATTTGATCAGTTTAGCTTTTGTACAATGGAAATTAACTGTGAAATTAACAGTCGGCTTGTTAACATTGAATAGCGTGACGAGCATTACGTTATCACTTCTCATTAAGGTATAATTAATTGCATTCAAGAAATCGGTTGTATGACAAATGGAAAGCCAACTGAACGAAATGAAAGATACATGCGTTTTGAGTTATATTCATTTATCGTATTTTCGGCATTTTAATCATTGATGTTGTTACGATCAGTGGAAACTGTCATGACAGTTAAGGACGTATCGCCAGTATAGTTTTTTGTATAAAAATATATAGTATATGTGTGTGTATATATGCAATACAGTTGAATAATACACAACATATTTTTATTTTAATACGCATTATTTACTTCATTTATTTTTAAAGATTATTAAGGATGTATCATTGATTTACTTCATTTTATATTATTTCTGACTTTTACTTTGAACTTTTGTCTCTGAATTGTAATGAAACTTTGCATACATTATCTTGAGTACTTAAAAAATATATGTGCAGAAATTGAGATTTTTGTTATTATTTTGTTTATTTTCTTTCTCTTTACTGAAAATGATAATATATATTTCCATAACAGCACGATTTTAAATCCCAAGTAGTAGGATGACATCAAATGACCCATTATTGACGTTAGAGATACCATTGAAACGTTACTGACGTCATCATGCATGTTTCGATTTACACATCGAAGCGAACTGACTTTTGAAATTCGGACTCTGAATTAATGTCAAGCTGTTCATTTTTGGATGATGCAATGTAGATTAATTTCTAATTTTTCTAAAATTTCTTTTATTATTTTTAAGATACTGACGATACATCCTTAAACAAGATCCAGTGTCGTTGATTGATCAACACTTGGAAGAAGCTGTGCTTTCTTCTGACGCGTTCTTCGCGGTTGATTTCGCGCAGACGGACGAACGGTTCCTCATAGAGGAACCACTTCCGAGGACGAGCTCGCGGTTGGATTCGTGCGACATTGAGATTCATGCGTCGTCGTAGCCGGGATCCTCGGCTCGTTCGGGACTCCGAGCGCGTGCCGACACTCGCCGGTGTCGTCGTACACGCGCACTCGGTAACATGCATCGTCGAATGCTCGCGGATGCCGGACGTGTACGGGGCGGGTTGGCACCACAGCCGAGAAACCAGCCATCGGGCACCGTTCGCCGGCTGCTGTTGCTTTCTCATTGTCTACCCTATATGTCTCCGGAAGCAGGGCCAATCCGCCGGAAAGACGGGACCGTTAACCCGCACGATCCCGAGACCTCGCGGCCGTGCATGCCAACGCTGCATTATTGGCTTTTTGTATGCTCATGCTAAGTGGTCGTCGCGCACGCTCGCGCATAATGCCCTTGGATCCTTTGCACCTCCGGGTCCCGATTTAAGCGGATAGTTCCGGGCGTTGCCGGAATCCTCACGCGGTCGCGTGCTTCTACCCGGGCGGCAGCGCGCCTCTCGCGACCTCGTCGTCGCGGATAAACGTAATCGACGTTCGCTATAGTTTCTCGTTCAAACGTGCATCATAATTAGCGTGTCGGCTTCGCCGTGTAAGCACATATGAAATGAAGTGATAGCCATTTACTGCAGAATGTCGGTCTGTCCTTCGGTTGCAAAATCCTACGCCAATTTTTACTATAAAATTCTCCTCGGATACATGAAGTCATTCTTCAAGCGGGACAATGTGGATGATTCTATCGCGAAAGCAACGAGATTTGAGTTAAAATGGCTGACGTTCTTTGCACCCGATTGACCCTTACTCTACCTAGTCGATTTTTACAAAGTTTCAAATATAAAATAACATTTTTTTATACATGAAAACTAAAACTTTTGACACAAATAATCCTTATAATAGACTATAATTATTTCACTGATATGAGGATATACAATGCATCATATATTTCACGTCACTGACACGAGAGTGCCAGTGTTTCATACATGACGCATAGGACGCAGGGAAAGGATTACGCCTTTGACTGGCTGGCGTAACGTAGGTTCGAGACGGAAAATGCCGTGGAGAATTAATCAGTAGTTCCGTCGAATCGTCGAACCCTGCGTGTTCTACGAGCCGCGAAAGGATTCCGTGGGCACAGGTGCAGCCGCGCAACGTGCCCCAAGTGTACTCGCGAGTGCCGCGCGCGTCTTTATCGCTCGTTAATAGCGCGTATACAGGTCCCGGTGGTGTTGGCGTGGACTCGGCCGGCCTGTGCCGGCGCGGTGGGTCTCCGCAAAGGAGCAGCCCGGTCGCCCAAGAGCGACCAGAGCGAATGGATGCTAAGCAAGCTGTATTACCCGATCGTTTCCTTGCATACGAAACAGTCCTCGGCGGAAGTGCGTCACGCGGCAGTATAGATTCCACGCGTCGAGCGCGAGGAGGTCGGCTCCGCTTCGCCTTTTAGAGGCGAACGGACGAGCGAGCGAGCGAACGACGCGTTCATCGGCCACGTCGGGTGTGACTACGTGACCGAGCGTTAGCAACATATTATTTATTTTCCCCGCGAGGAGGAGCGTGCGCGCGGCATAGCCGGTGAAAATTTTATCTAGCGCCTCCATCGTCTTCCTAACCTCCCCGCCACCCTCCGCACCCCCGGCATTGACGTAAAGAGCGCCACGAATTGAATCTTTATCAACTTGTTGACACGCGTCGCGGTTCGCCGCTAAGTATTAGTGCGGGAGATAAACGCGCTCGTCGTCGACAGAGAGTACAACGCTCGGCGCTCGGCGTTATTAAAATCTCCAACGCCCGCTACGTGGGACCCGTTGCGGCTGTGTTTTCTACGATACGGGGAAGAACTGTAATATTGACATTGCCCATTGCGGCGAACAACAAGTATGTGCGGAATAATCGATATCCGGTGGCGATTCGCGCGTGTGTATCATCGCCGCCAGGCAGCCCTGGCTGTAGGCGCCGACAGACAAATAGACAGACAGATAGATAGAGAGAGAGAGAGAGAGAGAGAGAGAGAGAGAGAGAGAGAGAGAGAGAGAGAGAGTTCTTCGTTTACAAATCTCTCAAGAGGAAAATATCACACGATGGTTGTTTCACGACGTTTTGCAAGAGCCCAGAAACTGAACAATTAGACCGATGGAACAATTGAAACTTTTCTTCTTTTCTCTTTCCTGTTTTTTTTTTTTGTAACTTGATAGCCACTTGCTTAATGCAAGTTGGTAATTTTTTTCGCCTTAGGGAAACCAAAGAGATTGTTCTCCTGTTAATAAAGTGGAGATAAAAGCAGATCGACAGTGGACGACTCCGACTGTTTTTATCGATTGTCAATTTTGTTTCGTTCAGCCGCGTCACGCGAGGCACACCGAATTTTCATCTTCGGGCCGGCCTCGATAGGGATTTATCAACGAGACCTTTCGCCGGTCACGTCGCGCCTCCTCGCGTCATGACACGTCGCGGACGCGCCGGCTGCGCGGGGGAAAAAACGCCGAGGCGACAGTCTCGGGTCAGCTGAGCGCTAATTTATTGGAATGTTTATGTGTTTCTCTCGCCGTCTTATCTGGCCGTGCACGAGCGTATCGTGCCGCGAGAAGAGAGTCACGTATAACCTGACTGCGATTCTCTCACTTGCGACGCGATGCAGGAGCTGCAGCAGGGCGAGGAGGAGGAGGAGGAGAAAGAAAAGGAGGCATTAAAGCGCGACGACGTTAAAAATATACAGCGTCATGGCGTGATCGGGGGGTTGGAATGAGGGAGGGTGGGCGGACGGTAATTAAGATTCTTTCGAGTTTCAACGATCTCGCGCTTCTACGAGCAGCGCGCTACCGCGTTCGCTCTTTCTCTTTCTCTCGCCTCTCGTGCAATATTGTAGCGCCGGACGTTGAAACGGTTATCGCATCTTCCCATAGATTCACGGAAGATAAATAAAATTATACCGCAAGCCTGCACTCACGCGCGCGGGGATATCTTCCGCAACGATCTCTCTCTCTCTCTCTCTCTTCTCTTGGAATTTTTATCTTCTTATGTAAGTTAATACGGCGTGATGACTAGAACTTGGCTATGCGCGCTTTCACCCTTCGTACAAACAGGCTCTCCCGATATCGTCGACGTTAGACCATGATACGATAGACCATGAGATCATTTCTCTCCTTGAGATAGAGGAAAAGACGAAACGAAGAAGAAAGCGACGTCTTGTTTTTACGTCGGGACGCGACTCGTTATCTAATTAACTGCGCGTCGTTTCGATATTAGCGCTTGGATTCGCGTTCACCGTCAATATAATGAGTCAGTCGCGTCGTCGCGCGAAATTTTCTTGGCGTGCACGAGTCAGAGAACGAATAGAGAACGTATAATGTAGGACTTACCCGTTGAAAGGGTAACTCGCGAAAGCGGCGTCATAAGGGTGATACACCGAAGGGTAAGGCCACGCCGCCGCCGCTCCAGCTCCCAGATTTTCTTTGAGATCCAGACCAGCAGCCTGCAACAACACACGTAATTAGTACGCATGCGAAAATCGTCTCCTCTTGGAATTTAGACGCAACATTCTCTTCTTGTCGAATTTTTCTCTCTTTTTCTGTTTTTTAATTCCAAAGGGTTCTGCCGAGTCAAAATTTTAGTTCTACTTTGGACCTGAACTTTCTAACATCTGTATATTTTGAACAATCAGTATGTGTAATATATATGGAAATTTAGAGCCTACTTAGCACCTCTAAATGGTTGAAAATACACAACATGCCACTTATAGGCTCTAAGGAGATCAAATTAGTAGACAAATAAGTTCTTCTCGGCGAAGCTAGGTTAAATAGAATCAAAAGAGATTGATATAGGTTTGAGAATATCGAAACAGGCGTAAAACGAATATTGAAGTTGCAAGGAGGATAAAATATTTGATTCTCTCCCTTAAAGTCTCTCAGCCTTAAAGTCAGAAAGAAAAGATCACTCACGCTGTTGAGACTGAGAGACCGTTCCGTTATTTCGTTACGTGACGAGGCTAGACCTATTTCGCGGACCTTCCGGATTGTCATCCATTTCGATTGACGTAACGATACTCGAAGACACGTCGCTAACTTGGTTATACCACCGAGTCGATTTAGGACCGGTTGTTCACACAATGGTAGTTTAAACTTAGATCTTAGTCCAAACTCTATATAAGTATATTGTACACATTTATATAAAATGGGGTTCAAGCTTAAATCTAAGTTACTATTGAAAAATCGGCCTTCAAGGTATAGATTATTGTTTGAATCGCAGATTTCTACTTATAGCAAGATGTGTATCGATGTTTGATTTACTCACGCGATTGGCACGACATGGTAGCGAAACAGTAATTTAATATAACGCATCGTGGGCGATGACCAGCAAGATAATAGGTACGAGACGGAGGAAGACGGGATATGTGAAAGACGGTAATCGATCAATTAGCGGCCTCGATCATAGCACGGATCGCTCATGCGATATACGCTGTGTTAAAACGTCGTAGAAAACAGTTAAGCGCATTGGTGGTTCGCTCGCGAAATAAATTACTGCCTTTTACAGGATGTTTGCGCGCGTTAATTCGTCGTATGTGTAAGAACGCGAGGGTAGTTATATCGAGACATTTTATCTCGATAAAGCTCGGGACGATTTTATGCTGGGGTTCAGTTCTCTCGGGGGTGCGGGAGGGCAGGTAGGATGAGGGAAGGCAGAGGAGGCAGGAGGGGGCTATTAATACCGTGTACATGTGTGGAACCATTAGCGGTTGCTGCCGATAATTTTCACAGTCGTTTTAAGCGACGGTGATGCGAGCGACGATGCCGATTGCAGCCAGAGAAGAGAGATCTGCACGTGCCCGTATGGATTTATTCCGTGTTCGCGAGGGGAGAGAGAGAGAGAGAGAGAGAGAGAGAGAGAGAGAGAGAGAGAGAGAGAGAGAGAGAGAGAG